GAGGTGGGGCGGGGCGGGCAGGGCGGGCAGGGCGTGGTTTTTGTGCGGGTCGATTGATGATTGCGAGCCAGTTGGTCACGTGCGGCAGGCGGTCAGCTGATTTGATTAGGCGCGGCCCCCGTCGTCTCCCCCTGCTGGGGAGGTGGCAGAGTCCCGCGTCACCAACGCCCCCCCCCCTCCCCAAGTGTGTGCGTGTGTGTGCGTGTGCACTAGGACTCACGCAGGTATGCAAGTAGACCATTGTTAGGACATCAGGCAGCTGGCACGCCCCCCTCCGCGCATAACGCCTGCGGTAAGCAAGCACACGCCCATGTGTGTGTGTGTGTGTGTGTGTGTGTGCATTAGGGCGCCCCACAGCGCAAGCCGAGGCGTGTCGCGTCGCTGCTGCAGCGGGGCCCGGCGGCGCCCTGCCTATTACAACGATACGGACGACCACTACTCCGAACGACGGCTTGAAACGCCCCGGCTGCTGCTGCTGCTGCTGCTGCTGCTGCTGCTGCTGCTGCCGCTGCCGGCCACTACTGCCCTATACCGCCCTGACGTGTTTCTCCGCTCGTTCGACCAACGCGTTAAGACCCCGCCCCCTGAGGGGCCAACACCGCAGCACGCCCCCTAAGGGGAGCTGTGCGGGGGGCCGCAGCCGGCAGGCCATCAGGAAGTGGGCGAGCCTGGGCGAGCCTAAGGCCGCTCCGAGGGGGGTTGTTGGTAATGGGATTACCGCCGCATGGCGTGCCCATGCCCGGCTGCCGCTGCCGCCCCCGCCGCCCCCGGCCCACCCCCGGCTATGAGGTCAGGAGTTGCGGCTGGTTGAGGCGCCACCGTGTTAGAGGAGCAACAATCTAATCCCCGCCTGCGACACTACCGGGCGACACCACGCTCACACCGGGAGCAGCTCACCACCGCCGCAGGTCACGAGGTGGACGTCGAGAACCGGCCCACGGGAACCTTCGACATACTCCTCGACGGACATCGCCCCGGCCCCCGCCCAACAACGACGGCCACGTTAGCCACGCCCTGTCACACTCCCCTGCAGTGCCGGGAATAACTCGCTGACCCCAATCGGGGGGCGTCTATGGGGCGGCAATTAACGAAATGTCGTGAAGGGGGCGGCGAGTATGGTCCCCGCGGGAGGCGAACGGGAGGAGGGGCCAGCGGCTCGCCCGAGGGCGGGGTGCGGTGCGGGGCCGGTACCGTCGAGACTGGACTGCACCGGCCTGCACCGGCCTGGTCCGAGCGGTCGTCTTGTCGCGAGCGCGGCCGCGGCGGCGCGGCGGCGGCGGAGCGCCGTAGAGGCGGGCAGCCCGGCGGACGCGCGCGCGGCGGAGCGGCCTACGCGGGTGGGCGGCGCCGAGGAGCACGCACACTCACAGTAGTATACGACGCGCGCGGAGCTGCCTTGACGCGGAGCTCGACTGGCAGAGCGAGGAGCGAGAGTGGCGGCGGCGGCGGCGGCGGCGCGACCGATCCGACCCGTCCGTCAACCGAGAAGCGACTCGCTCGGCGCGGCCGCTGCACCGCGGGGCCGGCCTACTGCTGGTGGGGCGGGGGAGGGGCAGGGGAAGCGGCCAGGCCAGGGCCTTAACCAGGGGGCGGGGCGGGGCGGCGCGGGCAGGTGTGGTGGGGTAGGGCCTGCGCAGCCCTGCCCCAGCCCTGCCCCAGCCCCACCGGCCGGCGGGGGCGCGGGGGGCGCGGGGGGCGCAGACCAGCAGACACAGTGTGCCTCAACTGAGGACCCCCCCTCACCTCCCGGGCCTGCTGGAAGCTCACATCAGCCCAGCGAAGGCGACGACGGCTATCAACCCACAAAAAAGAAAAGACGCAAAACGTCGGTCTCCTTGGGATGTAACTGGGGTCACAAACGCATAAATATGGATTGCGGCCGATGCGCTTGCTTGTCGTTGGTACGTACGAGTCGCGTGGTGAGGCGTGGCGTGGCGTGGGGAGGGGGGCTCGCGGCGGAGTCCTGAGCCCGGTGGCTTCCCAGCGGGCGATAGAGCAGGACGTGCCAATTTGGCCAAGCTTGGACCGTGTACTTACATGCTTGGACGAACTCCCCTCGACTTTACTTTGGACTACACACACTACTACTACAAAAGTACACCCACTACAAGGTTGGGTTGTTGTGACTGAGGTTCGGCAATCGGCCTGCCGCGAGTGACTAAACCAGCATCGGCGACGTCGCAACGTCACAACCAGCGACGAGAACAGGGGGTCGTCCAGAAACCACGACCGTTTCTCAAAGATTCACTCGGCAAATCACGAGTGAGCTCGGCGCCTGCAAGACTAGGGGTAGGCCAGCCTGCAGTACACGCATGCACCGCAGGCATGGAGTTGCCTACCTAACAGGCGCTATGGGAGCTTGCTTAGGGCTTAGGCTGAACCTTAGCTCTGGGCGTTACGTAACGGCGACTGACGGGCGTACATTGTCGATGTGCCCCCCTGCCAGTTTCCCTTCCGGTTCAAACGCTTTGCGGCTGATAGCTCGCAGTGACGTGTTTACCGCGGGCGAGAGAACGTTCATCTCATTCCTGAGCTCGTAGAGCGGAGCGATCAGGCTGACGTCACGCGGGTCTCTGTGTGCCGGCCTGGGAGAGAGAGCACGAGAGAGAAGAAGGCAACGCGCAAAAGGGCCGCCGGGGAGGCCAGTGAGTGGTTCGGAAGTCCGGCCGAATAAGACCAGCGCCACCCATCGGGCCCGGCCCAGCCAGTCGGCCGACGGCTGCTGCTGCTGCTGCTGCTGCTGCTGTTGGTACAGCCCTCGCACACCCTCCTCGCCCCCCCCCCCTCTTCCCGCGCCTCAGCTCCCTGCCGCTGCTGTGGCTGCCTGCAGGCCAGCGTCACTCGTCAAGCGCTCTCTCACAAGCCCGTCGCAAGCCCGAAGCGGCTCGGCCCGTCCTCCCCTGGCCCCTGCCCGCTCCACGCCGCCCGACCTCCTCTGGCAGTGGTCCAGGGAGCAGCATCCGCGCCTTCCCAGTTTGAGCTACCGCTCTCGCGGCCTAGCGGGGCCGCAGCGCCTACATTGCGACGAGTATCCGCCACACAGCACAGCGGACGTTCGCCGCTCTGCCTATTATGCATAGCGTGTGTTCCGATTAACTGCCCTGCAGCGCGGTAATGGAAGCAACACAACAAAACATCCGCGTCAAGAGCGTTGGAGCGGAGCGAGCAGAGCGACCCCCACTCACTCCACAGACAGGCCGCGAGGGACCTCATTTGAAAAAGGAGCTGGTGGTGGTGGTAGCTGTCTGCCTGGGAACAGGCTAGTTCGTACTACGGTTATTCGTCTCCCTGACAATTCGTCCTCAACAATTCGTCCCCGTATGATTCGTCCCTGCATAATTTGTCCCCGGCTACTTTGTCCCCTATTCCAATTAGTACCCGGATGACTTGTTACTTTCATTTATTTAGTCTGCACAGAAGTTGTGCCCACAGGCACGAGTGAAGTCAACGATGCGCCCCTCTTCTTTGTACTGCGCATAATTCGTTGTAAGGTTTCGGAGGCGCTCGTTGATGCGCCGGTACTTCTGCCGTTGCGGCTGCCGAATGGTCCTCCCGGCGTCGAGTTCTGCCATCATGACCCGTACATCTGCCTCCTCCTTCTGGAACTCCTTCACGAGGTTGAAGATCGTCGGGTGACTTTTGCCAATCATTTTCTAAAACAGGCGAAACTGTATGTTAATGTCGCTCAAATCAAAGGGTAAGGAGAAGTACGTATGATAGTGCGTCTTACCTGGAAGCGGTTATGCCAAGCCTCAGTGGCATTGTTGGTCCGGGGTTCGTTGTGGCGGGCGGCCAGATGCTGGTTCCAGAGGTGCGGCGGGAACCGGGGAGCCGTGCGACGTCGCCCGCGGACGACTCTTCCCAGCACGTAGGTCTCTCCAAAATAATTGGAGAACGGCTTCATCTCGTCGGGAATATCTTCCTGGGCTTGCCGGAAGGCCTCTTCCACGTCGTCAACTGGCACGAAGGCCACCCCTAAAATCTGCCGAAACGCCATCCTGATGCTGTCATCTTCTTCGTCCCGGTACTGTACAGCAAGCCCTAGGTTTTGTATCTTTCTGAATGCAGACTGTTTTAGATGGAAGAGGCAGAGTCTGAGCTCAGCATCGGGAAACACGGTCTGTACTGCGTTGTTCATCCCCTTCTCGAAGTCCATTATGACGGTGGCCGGGTCTGGGCGCCGAAGATGTTTCTTCACACACACGTCCCTGATGGCCTCCAAAACCCGCGTGTAGCTCGCCTCTAATTTGTCAGGCAGCAGGGCAAACACTAATGGTAGCATGTGGTCACGGTACTCGCCATGGGCTGTGAGGATTTGGGCGAAGATGTCGGGCGATGTCTCGAATGTCCCATCTAGCTGCCAGGTGACAGACCTCGTGAGCGCCTTGAGCGTGAGAGAGCCATTTGCAACACCGCGATCGACATCCCCCGGCGCACCAGACAAATAGTCGAAAGGAGTTTAAATTTCCATATGGAAAAGTCTTATAAATAGTTAATTATCTCATACTCATTCATGGCACAGCATGTTTTGTACTGCCCTCCTCCTCCTTACTCAGTCGAAGTGATAAGAGAAAAAACGCGAGAGGAAATATGATCCCCCAATAACAAGACTCTCCATGAAAGTACGTTTTAACAGTAGTAAAGTGCCGACGCCGATGCCCGGGCCGGGAGTGCCCTCCCATCCTCCTTTCCCCGACTCCTACGGCCGTATCGTCATCCCTGAGTCTCTCCCTTATACCCTCTCCTAGGTCACCACACTTTGCGGGGGGCGGGGAGGGAGAGGAAGTTGCGCTTTTAAAGGGGCCCAACCCTCCACCCCTTCTACTCCGTGACCTCCACACGTGTAGAAGAGCCAACAAACGCAGCACGCAGCACAGCAGCACCCCATGCAGCAAACAGCCATATTACTGGTAAACTCGCCGAGCCCGCCCC